GCAACCACACTCTCAACAACCTTCGCCACAAAGCGTAGGTTGGAGACTGGGCGATAATTTGCCAACACATCTGGATCCAGGGAGGGCTTCTTAAGGAGGGGCCTCACCACCGCCTCCTTTAGGACCGCGGGGAAGGCACCCTCCCGTAGAGAAGCGTTTGTAATTCCCTGGAGCCAGGCTCGTGTTCCCTCCCGAGCCGAAATAAAATTATGGTTGCTGCTTATGTTTTGCTGCTTGAAAACTTCCCAGTAGTTTTTGGAAACCAGATGGGGAGCCATGAGCTTCATTACTTTGAATGAACCTTTGAACTATGGCTGTATGCCCACAATATTTATTGTTAACAAGCTAACTAAGACAAATGACCCCAATCTCTTCTTCCTGTTTCAGGCTTCAAAATGATATCCTTGTTGACTTGTGGTATGAAAATTCTTCCTACTATCATTCCACGGGCAGCCACGTTCTGTAAGTTCTTCTCTTTTAGATAATCAAAATGCCCAATGCAAGATTAGTTACTGGACTTTTATGCTGGCATGTTTGTTATAAAGGTTTTATTCATGTATAGTTAAAATAGTTCATTGTCTTTTTCTGAGTTTCTGCTTCGCTCTTTTTCTGATACAGCAGTTATCATATTAAGGTACCATAATCCTATCACAGTGGTGGCGAACCTATGGCACGGGTGCCAGAGGCAGCACTCGGAGCTCTCTCTGTGGGCACACGTGCCGTTGCCCCAGCCTTGCCTCCCCCCATGACCCCCTCCTCTCCAGCAGCCCCCCTGAAGGAGAGTCGCCCTCGAGCGTGGCCCACACAGAGCAGTGCAGCCAAGGACATGGCAGCCAGGCAGCGTAGACAAGATTCTGCCCTCACACCTCATCATGCAGTTGATGCTGCAGGGCGCGGGCAGAGGGTGTGGCCGCCATAGCGCTGCTGGGCCGCCTGGGTGATCTGCAGTGGGCCCTGGAAGGGGTGAGTGGTCCTGTGGGCAGGTGGGACAGGGGATGGGGGGGCAGGGCAGGGGGGGTGGAGAGGGGGGCAGTTTTGGGGCACTCGGTCTCTAAAAGGTTCGCCATCACTGTCCTATCATATTATTCATTTTTTGCTTTTGTGTTCTAAATGTCACAATATGTACTATGTCACAGTACATTCTGATCCTCTTGGCTCATGATCAGTTAGAAACTTATGAGAAATTTGCTTTGTTTTTATGTCTAAATGACATTATTGTCATTATTGTCTATTTTACCTATATTGTTATATTTTTATTTTCTCACATTTCAGCTTTGAGATCTTTCAGCTGCACATCCCAGTTATTCGCAACAGGTACAGAAAAAATATGAATAATCTGATTGCATGTCTCTATTGTAATTGCACTCCTGTGCTGTCTTATAAATTAGGATATAAAATAGATCTGAGATCACATAAATTAAATCTAAAATTTGTTCTGAAAGTACTGTAATCTAAAGGAAACGTATTCTGCTGGCATGACTATTATTACAATGTGTGTGTGGGTATTACACAGAAACATATTTTAAAAAGTGTTGAAGTTCTGCGATTCTAATTTTGATGTTTATTCATGCTTTATTGAAAACTACAGATGGGAAAAACAAGCAATAGATATCTTAACATTATTAAATAGAAGGAATAAATAGTGAATTTTGGGTGTTTTTAGACAAATTTCAAAATAAACTCTATTAATCTTATCATAATGTGAATTATGATGACATGGCTTTTTCAGCAAGCGGGACTGACCTAGGGTGAATTTTAAATAGGGATAATTTTTTAATGATTTTTAATAAGAGACACAGCTACAAATATTTGGTTTTTAATTGGCTTTTATTGGGGAAATGTGTTATGTTGTTTTAATATGCTGTGAGCCGCCCTGAGTCCCGTGGGGAGAAGGGCGGCATATAAGTCCAAAAATAAATAAATAAAAATAAATAAATAAATAAATTTATTTTAATCCCTTTTCTAAACAATAGCAACAAATGCTTTGGTTTTTGATAATTTTATGATAATTCTTGCTCTAACTCTATTAGTTTTTCTAATAATAATTTATTATTACTGCAGTTCAGGCCAAAAGTAAGAAAACCCTAGCTAAAAATGGGCTGAAGAATATTGTAGTGGTGGATGGTGTTCGCATTCCATTTTTGCAGTCCGGGACCTCGTGAGTATTAAATGTTTCCTTTGAATAACAATTTGTAAAACCTCTTGGGCACTTTTGGGAAAAGGTATAAATAATGTTAACAGAGAAACAGCCAAATTTAAAGTAACTGTAATTTCTTTTTCAGCTTGCACTGCAGTTAGTAAAACAAAAGTATATTCTTCAGGAATTAATGAGAAGGTGATTTTTTTCTTTCTCTTCTAATCTTCAGGTATGCAGATTTAATGCCACATGACTTGGCCAGAGCAGCACTGATGTAAGTAGTAAATAAATAAAAGTGGAGCAATTTGATTGTGATCTAGTTCATAGAGAGTTGTTTAGGGATGTTCTGCTTTGTTTTTTGTGCCTGAAGTGCCTTTTCTTCTTTCATCAAACTATTCATTTGTTGTGATCAGTAGAATGCTGCCATTCTTATTACCAATAAATATAGATGAGAATAATTCACCTTGTCTTCCTAGCGTACTTCAAATTCTTTCATCTTTATTTATATCCCACCTTTATTATTTTGATAAATAACTCAAGGTATCGAGGATATCTAATAGTTCCTCTTCCTCTTTTCCTCACAACAACCCTGTGAGGTTTGGGCTGAGTGAGTGTGACTGGTCTAAAGTTATCCAGACGCTTTCATGCTTAAGGTGGGACTAGAATTCTCAGTCACCAGGTGAAATGTTACCTTAGATGGAGCTTTTGCTGAAAGAAGAAAAAATAATATGAGTTATGGACTGAGGATTAAAAAAGATTTGGATTAAGTGAGGGGCTAAAGAGATTTGTATGACATCTAAGAGGGAGGAAAGATTATAAGATTGTAATTATCTATTAAAAATAAGTTTGGAGGTCGCTATATTGCCTAACTTTTTTTTTCTTACCTTGCACCTTTTTTCTTTTCTATGTTTTTCTTTAGATTTGTCTTTATATAAAACACTTACATGTGAATTTAAAAAAGATTTGAGATAGAAATATCCTAAATTTTGTTGTGACCTGTCCTGTAAGTTCTAGGGCTGTGCAATGCTTTTGATTCAATTGGGAAGAAGTACTTTTCCCAAGAGCAGGAATACAGTTTCTCTCTGGACTCATTAAAATTGAATGAACTGAAACAGTCAAAAAGTCCTTAGAACAGAGGTCGCTTTTCCAATGAATGGCAGGAATCTACTGTATTCACCTTTTCTTGCATTCTGAACCATTTTTCCCCAAACAGATCCAAAGCATTGCCCTAGAAATCATCTTGTGACTTAGCTTCTAGAATGAAAAGGACTGTTTTCCCAGTAATGAAATCTAGGATTTACAGTTGCAATGCCATGTAGAATCATATTTTAATTCAAGGACTACATTTATTATTTCGCTTAACTACAAAGCAAAGTGGATTATGGGCTGTGGGAGCAAAACTGCACAGGCTGCAGCAAAGTATGACTGTTTCTAAGATAACTTCTGGGCCCACTCTGGGAAGCATTTAGTGAGGGAACAGTATTTTGAAACCTGCCTGATCCTTGATAACTTCCAAAATTAGGAAGTACACAAGATAATTTAATCACTTAAATACAAAATAACAACAAAAATCCTATCAAGATTTCTGTTGACTAGATTACCTAGATTGGTGTGTAACAAAATTTGGGTCAGGAGTTTTGGAAATGTTTGGATAGTCAGTTTACTATCTGATTCTCAGAGACTGCCTGAATAAGTCCCTGCAGTTTTCTTGGCAAGGATTTTCGGAATTGGTTTGTCATGGCTGTCTTCCTAGGACATGGAGAGGGAATGACTGGCCCAAGGTCATCCAACTGGCTTCATGTACCGTCTCTTGATTTCTAGCTTGCCTTAACCCCGCAACATTAGAGTGACCCTCGTACTATAGATAGATGTGATTAAAATATCTGCTTACACCTAATGGACAGAATCTTGCCAAACTATAACCTTCTTTTTCTTCAAACTGAATAATCAAGTTCCTTCAGTCTGTCCTCTTAGGGCATGTACTCAATTCCCTCTATCATCTCTGTTATCGTTCTTTAAAACACTCTTGATTTGACATTGAAGTGCCTTCTTTCTCTGATCTGTTCCCCCAGAGGCTTGGTGAATCGGACTGATGTGCCTAAGGAAGCTGTTGAGTACATTTTGTGTGGCACTGTTATCCAAGAAGTGAAAACAAGTAATGTTGCTAGAGAGGTATGTTAATCAATAGAAGAATCACAAGACCTGAGATGGGGTGGGGGATATGAATGGTGATGAGATGAAGGAACTAATTTTGAGTGGAATCTGGCTTCGGTAACTTAAAAATGGAGATGTACCTCTTTCTAAAATCTTGAAATACAATAAAACTTTTATGAATGAAAGAAAATAGACGTGTCTCAGGATAAAGTTGCAGGATGCAATCTGGGACGATCACCAGGACCAGAGGCTTAGTCTTCTGAGCTTTCAGACTCGTGCTGGAGCCTAAGAAAGCTTGGAAAACTAAACCTCTGGTCCCAGTGACTGACCCAAAGTGGATCCTGCAAAAACTTTTATTTAATGGTCCCATTTGGGGGAAGGAGTATCTGTTAAATTGCAAAGTTTGTTAAATTAGAAGAAGACATGAGTACATGTTTAAAATATTGTAAAAATAGGTAATACAGATAAATATAAACAGTTAAAAAAGGTTGGATAAAATGTAAAATATATCACAAATATGGTCTAATACCTTATTAAAAACTTGTCAAAACATTTTTGATTAAATATGGTTTGAACATCTAATCAACATCTTTGATTAGATATGGTTTTAAGTCTTTGGATAACACTGTCAAACATTTAAAAAGGAAAGGTAGAAAAACTAAGGATAAAAAATATATCATGACAATATAAAGAGAGATTATATATTAAGTTAGAATATAAGCTCTGAAATCATAATTTTGAATTTGGTGCAATTCCATGTTTAAAATTGTACCCTATAAATGATTTCCAAATAAAACTGAATTTTTTTATCAAGATTGCTTTCAAAAATATCAAGTCATTCTAAACATTAAAACATACTTCCACATTTTGTGCATGCATTAAAAAGCCTGCCTGTCATTTTGCAGACTTTATGCACATGAAGGAATGTCTGCTTCTGCTTCCTGTTTTTTTAAACCTGCAAAGCTTGATGCTGTGTAAGTGCCAGTTTCTCTTATCACCTGCCACAGATTAGAGCTCCCTCTGCCTTTTGTCACTTTCTATGCTATAAGCCGGCCTGCAGGCCAGATGCATCACGAGGAAACTGTGCCCACCCCATTGCCGGCAATGGGGAAAAAGTTCCGATACGTCATGCGACGTCATGTGACGTCGCAAGTTTGACATGTCTGCTATAAGCCCAATACATGGTACTTTCTATCTACTGCCACCAATCTTCTTTCTATCCCAGAGTAGTGCCTGGTGGATAGTGAAAGGGTGGAAACGGTAAATGGATGTCCCGAGAGTAGAATAAAAAAAGGTCACGAACGGAATGACGACTAGAAGGATTAGTGGATTTTTTCCTCACTGAGGACAATTCTTTAGGTGAATAATTTCAATTACATTAAGAATTTCGTCCGTATCGACACAAAACAAAAACTATAAATCTAGCATGAAAAATGACGTGCTTTAGTCAACACTAATTCAAAGGCACCCCCAACCCCCCTAAAGAAAAACTTGCTGAAAGCACATTTGCTTGTCTACAGCTCCTATATGCAAAAACCCACTGAGAGCCCAAACAAACTGTCCCAAGTTTGAATGAAGTTAAGAATGTAAAGGTTGTTGATTATTAACTTGATATCTGAAAAGGACTAAGTCCAATTCTTTAGGATTAAGTAATTTCTTATGTATGCACATTCACAGACAACAACTTTTTTTCTCCAGTTTGATTTTACCTAGTTTTGATGACCTTGACTTTTGTTGTTTTGAGTGGACTTGCTCTTTAACTTGTTGACAAGCCTATATTTATTATTTGTTCTGCTCATAAACTTTAAGCATGTCAATCAGCTCCCATTTCTGACAATTGCAAGAACATTTATATTTGCCTTACAAAAGCTAAGCAGACACCCGTTTTAATATTAAAAGCCCCAAAGTTGCCATTTTTTAGGAGAGCAGTTAGACATAACTGGTTACTGCTTGCATTTCCCCTCTGTATTTCTTCACCCGTCACCAGTTTTTGCTTGTCTGATTCTCCGCCTGAGCAAATATCTTCATTTTAACTTTCATGCTGAACTTTACCCCAGTTGGCTGTGTGTCAGTGAAGCAATGTTGTGTGGTATTGTGTAACCTTATTTAGCTGTTTTATTGCTGAATCATAGAAACCAAGATCTATTACACTGGAGCATTAGTCCTTCTAGCCTACCTCTGAATATTCTTCTATTCCCTGTTTTCAAGTTTTCATACTGACCCAGGCCATTTGAAGTCCTGCCTTCCTAACAGCGTCTTAAGCAGAGGCAGACCTGAGACTACGCTTTTGCTCCCCCGACTGAGCTATCCTTCTTTGCTATACCATGTCATATTTTCCATTCAGTAGCACCTCCCCCCCTCCCCTTTTAACTGAAAGCAGAGAGGCATTTGTGATACATTCTCTTCATAATTCCCAACATAGGTAGAATGTCCCTGAGAGAACTTCGTTTCATGGGTGGGTAAAATAAGATTCATGTTACATTTTCCAGATAAAAAATACTTTGGCATTCTGGTCCACTGTACAATTAGGTAACTGGAGCTGGGGCAGCATATTCTCTGTTGATTATTGAGACAGGAATATCTCAATAGGAAAATATTCACTGCTTGAAAGTCCCAGTGATCTCATTGGAAGGTTGGTTTTCAGTACTTTTCCTGGCAACTCTAGGATTACTCACGTGCTAGTTAAAATGTGTAAAGGGTCTCTTACATATGGTGCTTCTGCAGGTAGGCCCAAAGCCTCCATAGTAATTTTATGCATATGTTTGTAAGCAGAGGCAGACAGATAGCCAAGAACTTTTGACTCTGATTTGTGAGATTGACCATTGGGGCATTGCAAATAAATGAATTTCTTAACCTCTGGTTGCTGTACTTAAGTTTGTTACATTTGGTGATCTGGATTCAGACATTTTGTATGCCATTTTTCATTTAACCATGGTTTGAGTAAATTAACTGGGTTCACCAAATAGCCTAAGCCAAAATCACAAATTATTACTTAGTATAAAGTGTGAACTAGCCATTCTGTTTTCAGTAAACAGAAAATTGCAATACAAAGAGTGATTATAATTAACAAGCAGAAGCTCTGGTTATATTCTTTTAAAATGCTCTTTAATATTGATCAAACAAAAATTGTTTATTAAATATTGGTTAAATAGAAAACAATTTTATTGTATTAGTTGTTGACTATAAAAAGTTTGAAGAGCAAAAGGCTTTACTCGGTCAAGGAATACATTAATAAGATAAAATCTCTCAACCTGAGTTTCTCTGCAAGATTCTTGCAAAACCTGCTACGCTGAAAATTGTGGACTGCACATATCATGAAAACTGTAGAAATTAGACATCTCTCAATATTCTGGTTTGCTTTCTGACTTTTATATAGGCTGCCTTGGGAGCTGGCTTCTCTGACAAAACTCCTGCTCACACTGTCACCATGGCTTGCATATCTTCCAATCAGGCAATGACAACTGGTATGTTATTCTGCTTGATTAAGTAAGGACCATATACAAATAGGCTGTAAACATGCAGGAAAATTTAACTTTATTTGCCCAATAGAATTTATTATTACCTTTTAATATTGGACTATTGCAACATGCTCTACGTGGGACTACTCTTCAGGAGTATCTGGAATTTCAGCTGGTATAGAATGCAGCTGGATGGACAGTTCTTGTGGCCCCTAGGACAGCCCATATTACATCGCTGTTCTGCGAGCTGCACTGGTTGCCAGTTTGCTTCCAGGTCCAATTCAAGGTGTTGGTTATCACCTAAAAAGTCCTTCGTGGCATGGGTCCATATTATCTGAGGAACTTGCTCATGCTGATGGGATTAGCCTGCCCCATCCATGCCAGCAGAAGAGGCATGGGACCCCATCAGTCAAGGAATTTCAGCTGGCGGGTTCTAGGAGAAGAGTGTTTTCTGCCATGGCAGCCACCCTCTGGAACATCCAGGGCCTGCCTCCCCTCCCCCCAGGTGAGATTTGCACCCACTCTGGCCATCCAGAAAAGCTTGAGAACCAGGCTCTGCCATCTGGCCTGGGACCCCAATGGGAGAGTGGCAACTTGGAGGTGGTTAATGTATTGGTCAGACCCCACCTCCTCCCCATGCATACTTCATTCCTTTCCTTTCCAACTTGGTTAATTGAATTTTATCTGAACAAAGAATAAAGTACGAAGTCTGAAATGTCCTCAGTGATCTGCCACATGACAGCTGATGGTCATATGTTTTATTCAACAGAGGCCATCTTTTTTGGGGGGGAAAGGCATAAAAATCTATTTCTAGTTTAAAAATGCTAAGAAAGCATTTACATGGAGGTTGGATTTATAAAGTTGAACTTTTAAAGTGATTTAAAAAAATACTTTAGGAAAGAATAGTTATCTGTTGAATCCTTAAGTCAAACTGCCGGCCCGCGGGCCGGATGCATCATAGCGAAACCGCGCCCACCCTATTGTCTTCAACATAGTAACTGCCATGTATATGCCTTCTGATTTTTATAGCATATGGCCTCATCGCATCTGGCCAGATGGATGTGGTAATTGCTGGTGGTGTTGAATTGATGTCCGATGTTCCTATCAGACATAGTCGGAAGATGAGGAAGATTTTGCTTGGATTTTCAAGAGCAAAAGGATTGGGCCAGAAGTTATCCCTGATCTCCAAAATCCGTCCTGATTACTTTGCACCTGAGGTAAAGCAGGAAATAGTTTTCATTTCACTGCCTGCCTGAGGAACCAATTCAGAAAATGAGCAGGGATAAACGGAATAATCAACTAGAGACACATTGTGGCCAAAAATGATTGCTGACTCTGTCTGTTCCCTGGGCACCACATCTTCAACTTTCATTAACTTTGGACTAGAAAGCAAACAATTTATAAAAGAAATAGTAAAGTGTTCAAGTAGTCAATATCATTTGCTTTGTGTGTCAGCCATTATGAGAATTCTGAGGAGAGGAGAATAACGCCTGCATGCTAGAAAAGATGTATCATATCAAGCCTTTAGCAGTTCTTCACAAATCTCTCCCATGATTCTTGGTCTTCTTTAACCAGATTTATTGGAAGGGGAAACAGATTTGTTACAAAAAAATTAGGGGATTGGATATATTTAGTTTAGCATTTAATTTATTTCTAACTTTATTAATCTTTTGCTGAACATCTGTTAACTTACTGGAGAGTTGGCTGCCTGGTAAAGAAAAAATGTGCAGATGTTCTTTTAATTCTTTGCAAGCTGTCATTCTCTTTCCCAGGCTTGAGAAACTCATTACATGACAGAGCAAAATGAGGCTGAGGTTGACGTATGGAATTTTTTTGCTAAAAGAAAAAGTAGGTTGAGAGAGCAAAGAGTCATGACCAAGTTTGTAGGTAAAACAGCTTGGGAGGCAGAGTAGATTAAACAAGAAATGGCAAAAGGTGAGCCACTGCACGGCAGTGTTACAGTACATATTTTACATTGCTAAATCCTGTGGATTTACCTTCAACTATTAGATTATGGAGCTGTCTGCATGAATTGAGGGAAAATAATCTTCACACGCAATGTTCTCAATAATTCTAGCTCCCTGCAGTGGCAGAATTTTCTTCCAACGAGACCATGGGTCATTCAGCAGATCGTCTGGCAGCTGCATTTGCTATATCACGTTTGGAGCAAGATGAATATGCTCTCCGTTCGCACACTCTGGCCAAGAAAGCACAAGATGAGTCACTTCTCACGGATATAGTAGCATTCAAAGTGCCAGGTAAAATGTCTGCTTAGAGGAGTCTGTGACAATGGTTCCACATTCCAAGGGGGATGGGGAAGGGAGAGAAATGTTTTTCTCTTGGAATAGCTTTTAGTTTAGATCAGCGATGGCGAACCTTTTAGAGACTGAGTGCCCAAAATGCAACCCCAAACCCACTTATGCATTGTCGAGTGCCGGGTGGGTGTGGCCCATTGGGTGGGCGTGGCTGCGGTGGTAACGGCAGACTGGGGGGGGGACTAAAAAGTTCAATCAATCAATTCCAGCTTTGCGAGATCTGTTTTTCCCCGCGAGAAGTTGAAATTGACTGATTAACTTTTTTTTTTTTTTTTGCACATGGTGGTGGAGGCCTAAAGCGAAAAGGTTTTATAAAACCCAACTGGGGCGATGGCGCGCATGCCCACAGAGAGGGCTCTGAGTGCTGCCTCTGGCACCTAAGCCATAGGTTTGCCACCACTGGTTTAGATAATCTGCTGAACAAAGAAAAAGAGCTCTTAAAGATAAGAGAGAGGAGACAAAAACCTGTTTTTACAGATACTAGTTTCTCCCCCCCCTTCTGCCTTATTCTTCCCTCTTCCCAGTTCATAGATTTCTTCAGTGGATGAGTTAAGACTGAAACATATAACTTACCTGTGCCTACAATGTTTCCCTGAAAATAAGACCCAGTCTTTTTTTTTTTTTTTTGCCTACAAAAGATGCATTAGGTCTTATTTTTGGTGTGTGTGTGCGTTTGTGTGTGTCTTTTCCACTCACCTCACAGCGGTGGCACTGACAGCCCTACCCAGCCAGCCCACTTCATTCGTTCTGTGGCTGAGAATGGTGGTCCAGCCTGCATTTCGCAGTCAGAGGCCTTTCCTGAAGGCATTTGCAGCCGAGAACCGAGCTATGTATTCAATCCATAATTCGGTTGTCAGCTACATAGGCCTTCCGGAAAGGTTTCTCTGTCTGCAAAATGCAGGTCGAGCTCCATTCCCAGCTGCAGCCATGGGAGGCCTGGCTGCAATGGTAAGCTCCACCTCTCCCCACCCCTGTCCTAGCTTGATTTTTAGGGGTGCGCCTCGCCCCAAAACTAGAGCTTATTTTGGGGGTAGGGCTTATATCAGGCCCACCCCCAAAAATCAAGCTAGGGCTTATTTTCGGGGTAGGTCTTACCTTTGGGGAAATGCGTAATTCCTGAGGCTATGCTGGTTGAGGATTATGAATGTTGAAATCTAGTATGTGTGAAGAGTACCTAGTTGGGAAGGGTTTCCTAGAGAGAGGCAAAGTAACAAACAATCTTAGGAAATCTTGAAGGTAGAGAAGATGAAGTAAAGAGTATGAGAAAGAATGGTCCCTTGAAAGGAAATATGTAAGAAACCTACAGTGAGGGGAAAAAATTATTTGATCCCCTGCTGATTTTGTACGTTTGCCCAATGACAAAGAAATGCATTTTTCTGGATTTTTTTGTTGTTATTCTGTCTCTCACTGTTAAAATAAACCTACCATTAAAATTATAGACTGATCATGTCTTTGCCAATGGGCAAATGTACAAAACCAGCAGGGGATCAAATAATGTTTTCCCTCACTGTATGCATGGCCAAGAGGCCACAGTCAAGAATTTGCAGAAATGAAGAAGGTAGACTTTCAACATGCCAGATGTGTCTTGAGCCTTAGGTCTCTTCACATATTTGACTCTTGCAGGGAAGGACACTGTAGTGAAGGATAACGGTGTCCGGCCATCTTCATTGGAGCAGATGAGTCGACTGAAAGCTGCTTTTGTCAAACCATATGGGACTGTAACAGCTGCCAACTCCTCTTACCTGGTAACACCCTTGTACATTTTCCTTTGAAAAATATATTTTGAAGCATCTTCACTGCACAACATAATCACATTTGCTGGAACTGTAGATTGGCATTTGCTTTTAATCAGAATAGATTACAAAATTGATTCAAGTATTAACACCAAGCCACATGAAGGACCCTTGGCTGTTCCTGTAGAGTTTTTGGTTGCTTCTAAATCTTGCATATGAGTATTTGTTATCCAGGGTTTGATAGTGATTTATCATCCTAGTAATGCAGTAACACTGGGAGGAATATAATGTTGTTTTCCTAAAATCCAAAATAGTGTAACATGGCTCATTTTCCAAACCAGTGTGGTATTGAACATATCCCTGCTCAGCCACTAATGTTTTCCTCCTCATGTATAAGCTAGGAATGGCAGCAGCAGATGTGAAAAAAAGAAATGAAAAAGGAAGTGATTTTTCTCTTTCCTGCAACGATAGTGTTACATTAGGACAGGGCTTTTCAACCTTTTCACCCATTGTACCATTTTTAGGATATGGCAACATCCGAGTACCACCAGTCGCCTAGCAAGGTGTCAAAAACTTGATGACCCCCCCCAAAAGGAAAAAAGTGATAAAGCACAGGTAGTCCTCGACTTACAACAGTTCGCTTAGTGACTGTTCGAAGTTACAATGGCACTGAAAAAAGTGCCCCCCAAGCCACAGCTGAGCAAGACACCTGCCTGCCCACCTGGCGGCGCTCTTCCCCCTGTATGAGGTTTTCATTGTTGTGAGCATTTCTGTTGGGGATTGGCAGTGGGGGTGGGGTGGGGGGTGTTTGGTTTTTATTCCCCCCATCTGCTGGGTGGTTGCAGCAGGTTTTAGTCACTTCACGTGACCCTGGGACGCTGTGACCGTCATAAATATGAATCAGTTGCCAAGCATCTGAATGTAAATCACAAGACCCTGGAGATGCTGCAACATTCCAGCTGATCGGCGCTTCTTTTGGGCTCAGCAGAAGCGCCAGGATCAGCGCTGAGCTCCAGCTGGAGCCTGTCACTGATCCTGGCGCTTCCGCTGAGCCCTGACAGCCCCAAAAAAGCGCCGATCAGCAGGAAAGCGGCACTGACAGCCCTGCAGCTCCAGCCATCTTTCGCTCAGGCTTGTGCGGTGCGGCCACCAGTTCAGCTCATTCCCCTCCCCCGCTACCACTTTTCTAGGATGGTCGCGTACCACCTGCCAGGTGCCAATGTACCACAGTTGGTACCCGTACCACTGGTTGAAAAGCCCTTCATTAGGACAATAGGCCTTGGTAGCCGCCCTGAGTCCGCTAGGAGAAGGGCGGGGTATAAATTGAATAAAACTAAACAAACTAGAACACAGCCTCTGGAGAGAGACTACAATTCCCAAGAGTCTAGCTAGCTGGAAATGCAATGGAATAGATAGATTTCTTTGCATTTTTCTATTGTGTCTAGACTGCCATGTGGTGTCTTGGTCTCCAGAAATATGTAAAAGAGATTCAGTGATTGGGGAATGTGAAGGAATGGGGGGAGGCTGAGCTTATCATAATCATGTCTTTTTTTCTGCTTGCATTGCAAGCCTCTGAAATACAGATAGTCCTCGACTTACAACAGTTCATTTAGTGACTGTTTGAAGTTACACTGGGATTGAAAAAAGTGACTTACGACTGTTTTTCACACTTACAACTGTTGTAGCATCCCCACGGTCACATGATAAAAATTCAGAGGCTTGGGAACTGATTCATATTTATGACGGTTGCAGTGTTTTGGGGTCACGTGATCACCTGTGATCTTCTGACAAGCAAAATCAATGGGGAAGCCAAATTCCCTTAACAACCTTGTTACTAACAACTTCAGTGATTCACTTAGCAACTGTGGCAAAAAAAGTCATAAAATGGGGCAAAACTCACTTAACAAATGTTTCACTTAACAACAGGAATGTTGGCTCAGTTGTGGTCATAAATGGGGGACTACCTGTACTCTCAAAAGCTTAAGATTCAGATAGCATGTTTTTAATTAAGTACGGCATTTTGTTTCCAGGTGTTGTTAAATAGAAGCAAACTCTTTGACAGTTTTTCTGTCCTTTGTCCCCTGCATGACAGTCAAACACTTTCACTTCCCCTTTGTTGTTTCAGTGACTCTCCAGTTTTAGGCAGTTGTGCATTTTTTCCCAGGTTTTGACAATGTTGCTTTTCGTTGTTGGCATGATGCGTGTCGGGGGATAACATTGTTCTTGTACAGTCTGTTCTGAAAAGTTAAAAAAGCACAGCTGAAGCCCATAGTATGTATTAACGGGGTAACTGGGACCGGCAACTGTCACTAAGCAGTTCCGTCATAAAGCCTATTGTCATGTGACAGCACCAAGTTAACGACAGCAGTTGCCCCAGTTCTGGTAGCCTTTGACAAGTGAATCCTGCACGTGCATCAGGTGCAACATCACCTGATAGCTGTGCAAACTCCTGCGAGTTTCTCCATTGACTTTGCTTGTTGGAAGCTGGCAGTGAGGGTTGCAAGTGGCAGTCACATGACTGGGGGATGCTGCAAAGTAATTGTGAGATGTGGGTGCCAAGCACCCGAATCGGGATCATGTGATCATGGGGACACTGAAACACTCAGAACTACAAGGGGCGATCCTAAGACTTCTCATTTAGCACCATCATAACTGTGAATGGTAACTGAATGAATTAAGCGAGGACTACCTGCAGTTGGTCATTTCTTTTTTCCTGTCACAGCTGTTATACAATAGAAGAGAAAATATGTAGTTCACAGTAGAAATGTAGAGTCCTTGGTGGTCTCTGGTCTTGGTTGTTTGCAGATGTTTCATTACTCAACTTGATCAAGGACCCACAGTTGTTACACAGTCATCATAGGGGATGTTCAACACCTTTCAAATTACTTGGATCATAAAATTTTGTGGCCCAAAACTTCTCCACCAAGCAGTGTCTGGCTTTCCTGCTTCTCTTGCCTTCTTCCATGTTACCCATTGTTTATGCTTCCCTTTCCTTCCTTCCTTCCTTCCTTCCTTCCTTCCTTCCTTCCTTCCTTCCTTCCTTCCTTCCCTTCCTCACCCACCCACCCACCCACTTACCTTACCTTACCTTACCTTACCTTACCTTACCTTTATTCTTTTCTTCTCACTCTTTACTTGGGCCCAACTGATTATTTTTCTTTTGGTGATCTCATTTCCTGACTACCAGTTTTAAAATTCAGGTTTGCCTTTTTTTTTTTTTTGGGATACAAAAGCACTTACTTTGCATTTATACTCAGTTTTGAGTTGTCTTTTTTTTTAATAACCCTCCCAACTGCAATAATGTGCAAACTGAATTAAGAGATGGAAGGGTGGAACTTAATTCTTCTTTCGGATCTGATGTCATTTTTATATTGTCTCTACAGACTGATGGAGCATCAGCAATACTCTTGATGTCTGAAGAGAAAGCTTTGGCAATGGGTTACAAACCAAAGGCCTACCTCAGGTGAATAGAAGCTCTCCCCTCCCTTCTCTCATCATCTGTCATAAAACCATAGCCATTTTCTCATCTGTATAACCATGTAATCAATATCTTCTCTTTTTTTTAAAAAAAAAAAAAAACAATTTAGGGATTTTGTATATGTATCCCAAGACCCAAAAGATCAGCTTCTGCTTGGGTAAGTTGCAAATTTGGAATCTTTTACCACGAAAATGGAAATCTGCCCATTTTCCAAACCCTTTTATTGGTAGACACCTTATTCCCTCTTAGTCCTAGGCAACTTCCCAGCTGCTGCAGGGAGGTGCAACATTTTTCAGACGGAGGCTCACATTTGATCCTTAAGGGGGCATGTTAAGCATCACATTCTAAAAAATACACAGAGCTGAAACTGACTGAAAATAGGAATTATTTTACTATTAAAAATGGGGCATGATGTCTCAGTGATTAAGATGCTGGGCTTGCCGGAAGTGTCGTTGGACAACTCTGGCTCCCTCGGCTAGGAAACGGAGATGACACCACGCCTTAGAGTCGGACACGACTGGACAGGGGAAAGTTTTACCTTTGCTACTAAAATGTATATGACCTCCGACTCCCAACTAATTACATAACTATGATTATTCTCTTTGAATATAAGTATTTCCCTGTTTTTGTCACATAAAATTTACTGGCAGCTTTTGTTGGCCGAACTGGCAACAACATTAATATTTCATGGGGGGGGGATTGCCACCTCTTCCACAGTGTATCTACCACTTGACTTTTGACAGTTGTAGCAGCATATTTCTGTCATCAGTTCCATTCAGCTAAGATTCTCTAGGACAGGCGTCTCCAAACTGTGGGCCACGGCCCAGTCCCCCCCTTACTCGCACTAACAGCACCGTGAGTGCTAGTGGCTCCGTTTGCGCATGTGTGCAGGGGCTAGCGCCGCCACAAGCATCGCGCAGGCACTGACAGCCCTGTTTGTGTATGCATGTGGGTGCTGGCTCCGTTGAGAACATCACATGGGTCAGTTTGCACATGTGCGCATGGCCTGTTCGTGCAGTGCGCGTGTGCAAATTTTCCTGCTCCTCCCTTTCCCTCCGGGCCACCAACCCAGAATGATTGGGGACCTCTGCTCTAGGACACGTGAATTCAATCCTCCCCTACCTTCTCCCACACATTCTTCCCTACCCTTGGTGTAGGGCAGTATTGCCATCAGCCCCATCCGAAAATCATTCAAAAGAGTTGACTGTCCTGGAGTAGACAAATACTGAGCTGCTGACTAATGGCCAGACATATCAACACCCATACTCAGTTTGGATTCTTACATTTTGCAACTGATACTTGAAGAAACAATGGCTGAGTCATAAATGGAAGTCTCCACAGCTTGTAAGAAATAGTATAAAATCTTCCTGGATTCTGAAATTGTTTTGTTTATGGAGTTTCTTATTCTCCTCACTCATTGCTTTAGCATACCTAATTTGCAGCAAACATTCTGTTTCCATTTCTTTGCTGCACAGCTTCTTATATCACCACAAGAGAGAAAACTTTAGTTACTGTAGAAGTATTGTATTCTCTACTCAGAGCTTTTAGATATAGAGATGGGGAGGATAAGAATTCTTCAAGCTACTTGGAAGAGAGAGCTATTTTGTTTATTTCTGCCAAATAAAAAGAAAGGGTACCTTTTTATAATGGTGATACAGGCAGGCTCGTTCTTCTGAGTAGCTGCAGCCTTTCTCAGCCAGTAGGTTTTCCCCTGTCCAGAAGGACCTGAATGCAAATCTTGGCTTCTTTTTCTCTTAGGCCAACATATGCTACTCCCAAAGTTTTGGAAAGAGCTGGCCTAACAGTGGCAGATATTGATGTGTTTGAATTTCATGAAGCGTTTGCAGTAAGTATTTCTAAAGTCATGTGCAACACAGATAGCTTTGTTCAAATATTTCAGTAATTGTACTTTTCAATCTGGGGTTTATTAGTTATTATAGAGCAATGGTGGCGAACCTATGGCACATGTGCCAGAGGCGGCACTCGGAGCCCTCTCTGTGGGCACGTGCGCCATGCCCCGGAGATGGCAACCGTCCTCTTCAACCAGCCGCTCACTAACTCGCAGAGCTCCCACATGGCCAGATGCATCCCAGCACCCATGCGCTCGCTGGCCTCTGTGTGGGGGCCGATGGTGTCAGACAGCAGCCGCCCTGGCCCCTGCCTCGTCTTGCCCTGCAACATTGGCACCTCCACCCCGCCCTGTCTTGCCTCGCCTCACCCCGCAGGACGAGCCTCCTGCCCACCACCCCATCCACCAGAGACCCCCTGGATCTCCCCCAACGCTACCCGGCCCCCACAGGCATCTCTCCCCAGGAGCAACATTGAGCTGGCCACACCCACCCATCTGCCATGACCATCGTAGCCACGCCCATCCAGTGGGCCACGCCCACCTGGCACCCAGCGATATATAAGTGGATTTTGGGTTGCAGTTTAGGCACTCAGTCTCTAAAAGGTTTGCCATCACTGTTATAGAGGGAGCTGAAATACTCCCTTTCTATAATTAAGGTGGCATTCAACAAGTTAAGTAAAATAGTTTTTAAAATGTCACTCTAAATGCATAATACACTACTCCAAACAGCTAAAAAGACTGAATTAAAACAGATACCTTTCCAGCTTTTTAAAAAATTGTAAGAGTGGGATCGGATCTTATGGGAGACTATTCCACAACACAGAAGAAAGTTCTTTTTATCTAACATACCAAGTTCTGTGAATGGAAGCATCCTCTCTCTCCTGTAAGTGTTAGCAACAAGACAGATGGCTATTCAGGCCTAATCCATTTAAAGCTTATGGCGTGAATATAATGAAGGCATGGGAGGCAACCAGGCTGCCTCTTGCTGCTGCTCACCCCCTAGCTGTCACTCCCTGCCCTGTAGAATGGAATATGTTTCATCAGTTCAGACGTCACCAGATAGTGACCCATTTATGTTAGGGACATCACTGAGATCTTCATACAGGGACCACTCTCCTCCAAAATGAAAGCCAGATTGTGTGATTTGCCTCATGTTTAGATTTTGAAAGAATCTTATGTATAGAAAGCATATACAGGCCATGAAATTCTGAACCATGCCTGTTAAAGCAATGCATACACTAACATTAAATATCCTTCACACACCCCATTCCCCACACCTTGGATTTTTCAGCAACACTTTGCCAGACGGGATTGTTATAATGTGAACAGAATCCTTGCTTTCACTTGACCATTCAGAATGAAGTACAAAATGAAGACTCTAAAATATAATGTGAACATATGAACCAAAGTTGAATGAATCTCGTTATCTTATTTTCTTCGTTTACTCTTACGACATCCTGACACGAGAATTAAGGTCATTAGTTCTTTGTTGTAATACATGTCTTCGGGTCAGGAATACGTACAATTAACGTAGTTCAGACAGAACTTAGGACATTAAGAAACAGATAAAAAATTTTTCTTTAAACCCCGTTCCAGAGTGTGACTATAAATGTGTGTGACCAGGCAAGGCAAGGCACATTATACTGTGGTCCAATTATTTTGGATAGTTGTAACAACAATGCTTCATTTAATGATTTGGAAATGTGTAAAATATCAAGTATCTTATCAGCTAGTTGTTTGTGTTAATTCTTGTGGAGCTACGATATATGTTTCTATTGTACAGACTGCAAATACATTAACTATATTATTGCTGCAATGAAATCTTCCCTTTCCCTTCCTTTCCACGATAGGGACAAATTTTAGCAAATCTCAAAGCCATGGATTCAGATTGGTTTGCCCAGAACTATATGGGCAGAAAGACAAAGGTAAGGTTAAGGTTATTATGAATTTGTACATCCATTATGTTTTCTGTATTTTGTCTTCCCTATTCACTGGTGTCCCTGCAGCTTACCTTATTTTCCTTGCTAACCTAGTCCAGAAACTTCATAGAGGGCATGGTGGGAGTAGAGGCATCATGTTTATAGTTGTCTGAGGTCCAGTGAGAAGACTTACTCCTTCTCCAGTGATGTGGAGAAGACTACTGAGAAGACTTACTCCTTCTCTAGTGATATTTCAGTGGCTGAAATAGTCATCTGGCAAACATCAGCTGAGTTGATACGTTACCTACTCTGATTGTCTTTCAAGCTTACGTTTTGTAACTTACTTTCTTTCATAGGTGAAATTGGATAATTTATTTTGAAGTCTCATTTACTGTTTTCCTACTTATAGGTTGGAGCTCCTTCTCTGGACAAATTTAATAACTGGGGTGGATCCCTGTCATTAGGACATCCTTTTGGTGCTACTGGCTGCCGCTTAGTAATCACAGCTGCCCACAGGTTGAAGAAGGAAGGGGGACAATATGCCTTAGTGGCGGCATGTGCTGCTGGAGGACAGGTAAGAAGCCTACTATGAGCAATTTATATTTGTTTCTTTATATATTAGTTTATTTATTTATATTTTTACTTATTTATTTATATCTCACCTTTACTGTTTTCATTAAAAAACTCAAGGCGGCAAATATACCTAATACAGGTAGTCCTTGACTTGCAATCACAATTGAGCCAAAATTTCTGTTGCTAAGCAAGGCAATTGTTATGTGAGTTTTGCTCCATTTTACAACCTTTTTGTCAGTTAAGCAAGTCACAGCAGTTGTTAAGTGAATCATGCGGTCATTAGACAAATCTGGCTTCCCCCATTGACTTTGCTTGTCGGAAGCCAGTTGGGAAGGTTACAAATGGTGATCATATGACCCTGGAACAATGCATCTGTAATTAAGTACATGCCAGTTGCCAAATGTTTGAATTTTGATCACATGACTATGGGAAAGCTACAACAGTCATAAGTGTGAAAACTGGTCATAAGTCACTTTTTTCAGTGCTGAACGGTCACCAAATGAATGATTATTAGTTGGGGACTGCCTGTACTCCTTTCTCTTTCTATTTTACCCACAACAATAACTCTGGATTGGGCTGAGACAGAGTCACCCAGCTGGGTTTTATGCCTAAGGCAAGACTAGAACTCACAGTCTCCTGATTTCTAACCTGGTGCCTTAACGCCCAGACCAAATTGGTTCTAGACTCAATGTAGCATGACCATAGTTGCCTTGTGCTTGGCAAGGCTTTCTTTTGTAATCCTATTTTCCCATTCTTTTTCTTCTTTCTTGGGATAGGAATCTTGTTTCTCTCTTGTTGAGTAATTTCAGCTCTTCTCTTGTTGCAGGGCCATGCAATGATTGTTGAGAATTATCTGCTGTAGAGGTGAAAATTGGCACGAGGGGATTTGCCTGTTATCTGCAAGACAACAAATGTAGTAATAATGCTCCAAAATATATCTCTGGACTTTCCTACAAAGGACTCTTAGTGGCTTTTGTTAATATTTTCTAGTGCCTTCAAAAATGATTTCACAGCAAATGGAGAAAACCACACATATTTTATCTGGATATTTTATGTTAATATAGGTTTTCTGCCACTAAACAATATGTAACTACTTTTTTCCACCATGAGAATATTATAAGTTGGCATAGCGATTAAGCAAAATTTGCTACGCAAAGAGAATTGTTCTTAACAGTTTTCAAGTGAACAACATGGCTTTGAGGTTTTCTTTAAAAGGAAAAACTCTTGCTGAGAGAAAATAATCTAAATGTTCGATACAGTATTTATATGACATCAGCCTTAATAAATGAGAAAGAAGACTGGAACCCATGTGTCACTGTTTTTTTATCGGAATGTCCCAGGTTTAGGATGCAGAAGACTGGACCTTCTCATTTTTCTGCTTTCTGGGATTTTTTCCTCCTGTTGCTTTAAAGGGCTCAAGCCTGCTTAACCATCTTGTTCAACTCAAATGTGTGAAGAGGTTTAGTTTTATTATTGATTCTTCCCACCCAGCCCCCGCTCCCGATTTCAAAAGCAGTTAGAGTTTATTCAGGGAAGAGTGTGTGTGTGTGTGTGTGTGTGTGTGTGTGTGTGTGTGTAAAATATTAGTAGCTGATGAGCCATTACCATACTTACAAAACTGTCCTCCCCAGAAGAAAACTGGTGCTGGAAAATAAAACTGACCTGGATTTCATCATATACGGTATGTAGCCTGTTCCTGTAAAACCAGTAGTGTGGTCAGCTTTCAGCCCAATATCCAGAGCTAAGTATTAGATGGAATTACATCATGCTGGATGAAAATCAAGTCATGGCTTAGCATGATGTATGAAACTACTGTTGCTTGTCAAAATGTCTGGATTAAACAGTGTTACACAGATTTAGGAAGAATTAATTATTTCCTTCCATACACATCACATCCCTAATCCTGAATGTCTTGTTCCAATAGTCCTAAAAATGGAGAAATTATTAAGTTCGTGAATACCAATATTCGTTTAATTTACTATCATGCTTATTAAAATAACATGAATTCAGATTTGATTTTAAGTTCATTTATTCTTTGGAGTGGGTGTGGGTGTGGGTGTGGGTGTGGGTGGTATTCCACAAAGATTAAATGTAAGTTTCAGCTCCCACAGAGTTATACGTTCCTGATATTGAAAAATCAGAATGCCTTGGCAAGGATTTCTCCATTGTTGATGCCCAGCCCTTTTGTCAATTCTGGAAATGACTACTTCCCAAAGTAATATGAATCAATAGTGACTTCCAACATCCAGATAGCATAGCAAAAGTTCTTTCTGATATCAAAGACACAGCAGATAAATTCCTAATGAAGCAGATAGGATCCTTTAACATACATGACGCTTCTAGGCAAAGGATGCTGTTACAGTGTAGGCCCTGTGCCTGGAGGTTGTAAGGGTCTGGATGGGGAGAAACTGGTTTGATTCAACCATGGCAAGACAGAGTGGCTCTGGATTTTCGACCCTCTAGGGCAGGGGTAGTCAACCTTGGCTCTTTTATGACTCGTGGACTTCAACTCCCAGAATTCCTGAGCCAGCATAGCTGGCTCAGGAATTCTGGGAGTTGAAGTCCACGAGTCATAAAAGAGCCAAGGTTGACTACCCCTGCTCTAGGACCTAGGCCCAGTTGATATTTAATCTCTGACTCTGGGTGGGGTGGCGCTCCCTTGGGCTGAGTTGGTGTGCAATTTGGGAACCCTTCTAGACTCAGTCCCTGCTTGAGGAGCAGGTGGCAGCCACAGCCAAGGGAGGATTTGTACAGATTTGACTGATGTGCCACCTGTGCCCCTTCCTGGACCAGGAAGCCTTGCTCATGATCTCGAGCCTTCATCAGTTCCTGTTGGGATTATTATAATGCGTTCTACGTGTGGCTGCCTTTTTAAAATAAATAATATTTTATTAATTTTCCAATTTTACATTTAAGTATTTAAAAAGCAATGTGGTGACTGGGTTAATCAACAGTTCGATAACAAAATCTTTAGTACAAGTCTCAAGTTACAACATCAAATATTTCTTCTCTTTTTCCCTTAACATTTACTGTCTCGTATTCAAGCTAGTACAATTCTTATTATATCAACTCAATAAAAACATCATTATTACATTTATCAATAAATTTTTAGCTTATATGTATCTTAATTACATTCAGTCTTCATAAACAATCCATATCCTGTTATTAATTTTTAACCAATTTTTAGTTTCTCATCAATATTCCAATTTAACCTTTGATATTTATAATTTTCAAGCCTTAGGTAACCAAGATTTCCCTTGTCTCAATTCATGATAAAATCTAATATCCAAAATACATATTTTATCTATTTGAATATAATCTTGTTCTATTTTCTAAAAGTTATCTATTTCCCACTATATTAAATCATCTACTTAATAATACAATATCCTCTTTAAAAAATCAAAACCATTATGTATATTACCTAGGTTAATCAATAAATCAAACATATTCATAATAATTTTCTTTTTCCTTTTAGATCTAATTTTTGAATATTAAACAAATAAAGTCCTTATTTTCAATGGTCCAATGACCACAATTCCCCTTTTCTCAACTTCTTACTTTAACCCTCTAATTAATAATATGAAATCCCCTCTAATAAGTCAAAACCCCAATTTTCTTCAACCTTATTCTGGCTTTCTTCCTTTGCCAACTAGGCTTCCATATCAATGCTTTTAGATCGTCAAATAGATCTCCCTCTATTATTATATATGTTATTTGAAATAAAACCATTTAATTGCCATTTTTTGCAAGGACTAGCCCATTTGTATTCGTTGTCTCCCTGTTATTCCAATTCCCCATGCTTGCCCTGGTATGTTTGTCTTTCATTCAATCTGTTCTTCTTTCTCAAATTTATTCTGATTTATATAGAAAGTCATTTCCATTTTCAGTGTTGTCACTTCCTTTTCTGGATTTTCCATCAGCTGTATTTGTTGGTCAACTGAGTCCTCTGTCTTAATATTTGATTGTCCCACTTCTTCTGTTATCTTCTGCATTGTTGGTTCTTTGGTTGTAGTCAAAGTTTGGGTTTGTGTATCTAAGCTGCGTCTTGATCTTTTATGTTAAGTCTTATTTTATCCCAAGCTGAAAGAATGGTTTCATGTATTGCTTTCAACATTGAAAGAATCTTTTCCTGGTCTTCATCCATCTTTCACGTGTTTATAAATAGTCTTTCTAGTAGAAGTTGTTTGTCAAGCAAGATTTTATAATCCAAGGTATTTCAACATCTCATATAGTGACCAATATTCCTCAAGTAAAGAGATAGGAAAGCAGTTTCCCACATATAACTCTGAGAGTCGGTAAAGGTTTACATTCACAGTTCAAGTAGGCCAATTATGCCACCCAGTTGTTCTCTTACAGCTAAGTCTCTCACAGGTGGTGCCAAGGTCAGAAAAGTCTTATCTAAGGTCTGGGCTTCAAGCCAAGTCTCTTTCAGGAAATAAGTTGTAGCACCACACTTCGCCACAAGATGGCACTGATACCATTTAAGGTTTTTAAGTCCAAAATTTTTATAATCCTTTTTCCAATTTTATTTCTTTTTTGTAGATAAAAACAAGAGTCTCCAATAAAAATAGGAAAATTTTTGGTCCCCAAGTTTCAGGAACATATAAATCCAATTAGATTAAAGTTGATTTTTTAATGCTTTAATTCCCCTGGGTAGTCAAACGCCGCTATTCTTAGAGGGTGGGATAGAAAGCTACTTCAGGTAGCTTTTACAGGAAGAGAAAGTACTTAGGGTAAAGAGAAGATCAGGTCGCACCCAGTTTCATTTGCGTTGTTTTCAAAGTGCTTGGTGGTGAGTTTGACCGGCTGTCTGTAGCTTAGTAATGGCTGCGGCAGCCACAGCGGCAAACCGGAAGTCTACATGTGGCTGCCTTTGAAGACCACCCAGCAATTAGAATTGATCCAGAATGCAGCGGAGTGCACAGTGGTGCCCCTAGGTTTACTCACACTATATTTATTTATTTATTTATTTATTTATTATTTGAATATTCCTTTTGCTTGATCTGTATGCTCTATAGATTCATTCTATTTTCTATGGCTGTTCCAGATAGTTAGGTATACAATCATGACAGAAATGGCTTTATGCAGATTGAATACTACAGTTGTTTATTTTCCTTCTTTCCCCCCTTCAGGTCCTTTTCAAGGAACAAGGAAAATTAATACATTGTTGGAGACTATTTTTCACTAGTGATTGCCTACATTTTATTCTGTTATGGAGGTTGGGACAAACAGACACACAGAGCCCATTACTGCATGCATACAAATCAAAATATATTAGTAGCAGTTGTCCTGCTTTAGTTTTTAGTTAAATTGGGCATGGAAAGCCTAGCATGAATTGTGTAATATTAATTGAGCTATCATTGATTAATTTGCAGTTGTCTCTTAGATAGCAAAATCCAGATATAATATTTTAAAATTATTAGAATGCCATTATCTACAGTATTTCTAAATCTATATCCATTGGTGAAAGAGGTTCTAAGTCTTTCATATATTGTAGAGACTTCTGGACAGAAGGGCCTAGCTAGCTGTATGTATCCCTTAGAAACCAGTGCCGAATTGGAACAACAAGGCTAACTCAATTTCTGGTCCAAGATTGCTTAGGAACACTGTAGATACAACCTACCTAAGCTGACAATACTGAATTGTACATGGGCAGATTGTATTGTTTGGATTAAGCACATTGGAAGACATATCAGTGCCCAGAAGACCACACAGTTAGTTGATAAATGACTTCTGTGATAACAAGCTAGTTTCTTGTTCAGTGGCTGCAGAGGTGGTCATAAGGGCTACAAACAGTATTTGGAAACAAATAGGTCTATGCAGGGTTTGTCAAGAACAGATATCTCTCTTTATGGAGGCACTTGGATGGGTTTATTGAAATAATACACTCATCAGATCAGCCTGCTTTTTGCCTGAATGAGATTTGTGGAATCTCATTTGTCAATTGGCTTTCCTAATGCTTTTA